AAAAAAAATAAGAAAAAAAAATAAGAGAGAAAAAAATAAGAGAGAGAAAAAATAAGAGAAAAAAAAATAAGAGAGAAAAAAAAATAGAGAGGGAGAAAAAAAAATTGAGAGAGAGAGAAAAAATAAGAGAGAGAGAGAAAAAAAAAATGAGAGAGAAAAAAAATAAGAGAAAAAATAATAAGAGAAAAAAAAGAAAAAAAAAGAGAAAAAAAATGAGAAAAAAAAATAAGAGAGAGAGAGAGAGAGAGAATATGGGATATATATAGAGAGAGAGAGAGAGAATATGGGATAGAGAGATAGAGTAATATCTAGTTACTTTGTTGATAAAAAGAAAGCAAGCAAAAAGAATTGTTAAAACTCAAAGGTCTTTTTTTATAATACATTCGGAAAACAGTCTTTTTTAATAAAGAAACCTGCTGATAATTTAGCCCCCACAAACATTCTGATACTTTGTAATTTAAAAATACAGGAATTAATTATAGAGAAGAACATTGTTTCTTTTGCACTATGAGGAACACTGTGCTAAGAATTCTTTTTGTTATCAGAATTTAAAGGTTAGATTCCTGTAATTTACTGATTAAGCTTTAACATCAGCATCACACTGGCATGGCACTAAATATACTGTGACAATTTGATGTAGTGATCTGGCCATGGTTTGGACCTACAATGGTTAAAAGCTGTGGGGTTCAATTAGCTGTACCCGAGTCTGTGCTATAGAAGTTGAGGAAATGAAGGAACAGAAAAAATAATAATAAAAAAAAAAAAAAAAAAAAAAAAAAAAAAATGGAGATACTGACCCTGATGAGAACAACATAATTTTTGGAAAGAAGAAGAAGAAGGGAAAAAAACTGTTACTTAAAACCCTACCTGTGCGTTCCAGTGCTGAAGCCCATCTGACAAACAGTGGCCGGGCGTATGCAGCAAGAGAGCTTTCAAGAGCTGCATAGAGAGCGGTCAGGTCAAGGTCTTGGTCATCCTTTCGTTCAACAGCAGCCATGCCAGCACGACCTTCTGCACCAGGAACCTATAATATGACAATGATCATCATAATTATCATTAACAGTATCATCATCATCATCACCACCAATGTCAATAGTTAACCTTTTGGATCTTGGTGCTTCACTGTTAACACATGACCCAAAATATGGGCATAAGGTCTACTTGAGAAGCCACTTTGACAGGTGTGTGGCTTGTAGGCTGGGCACACACAAACGCAGGTGTGGTGACAAGATTCTTTGTCTTCCCTTTGCGATGTTATTTTCTCTTTTTATGCATAAGCATAAACATTATGCTATTTTCCAATGTCTATATTTGTTATTTGATTTGTTTTATCCTGATTTTTTGGTCAATTTTTATTTATTTTTGGTAATATTTAATATTCTGTAATGCAATCTGTCTATCAAGGTGGGCAGGAATAGAATCTGGAGCATGGATATAGCATCCTCCCTGGTGCTGGAGCTCTTCCAGTCATGGCTCACTGGTGGTACATTCCACCCTCACTTATTTTTGGAAACAATGCAAAAGCCCCTTCCTGAATGCCCTTTAAGTCTAATCAGCCTCCAAGAGCTTTGTGCACTTGTGGCGAATCATTCCCCTAACCCCAGCTCTCACCCAAATTTTCCCATAACAGCATGTCCACATCACCTGCCCCTCATTGCCAAATTTTATCATTATGTGATAGTCATGTAGGAGATCATAGGACTTAATAGCAGCACTGCCATTCTCAATTACTATAATAAGTATAATGTTACATAATGCTGATACTGAAAAAAAATGAAGACAATAATTATCATTACCAATAGCATTATAACAACAATGCTTATAATGGCACTGATTTGGTTTTACATTACCCATGCATTAAGGCCCTGTCACACAAGTACATTTCCCATCAATTTTTGCCTTTCCACATGAATTTGAAGCTTCCTGCATGTATTGCATGCAAACAAAAATCCTCCCAGATGAAGACGGTAAAAACTGTTTCTTTCCGACTAATTTCCATCTTGTTCTTGTGCTAAGAGAATCTATGCAACTAGATTTTTTTATTATTATTATTGATAAAATAGATTAAATCATATCAGAACATTTCTATATACAAGATACATAATTGTTTTTCTTTAAAATAATGTGATATGTATGAGAATGCCACTGCGAGTCCCAGGACCTTACTGAGATATCTGCTGACTTGGTTGCGTGACAGGGTTCATGTGGAGAGACAAAAATTGACAGAAAAAATGCTGGTGTGATAGGGCCTTTATTTAGAAGGACTTTTGGTTTTCACAGTACAAAACCATTAACCTAGCTGATCCGGGTGACATGACAGTCTTGCCATTAAAACATTTGGTAAAGAGATGGGTGACAGGAATACATCATGGAAAGTTTGGCAGAGGGCTGGGGTGAGGCGAACATGACATCATGAAAAATTAGGCTATTTGCATGGGGTGAAGGGAATGAGTTGCCACAAGTGCTCAGTAAACAAGGCAGGAATGGACCATCCATGAGCCATGGCCACAAGATTGATGCCTCTAGGGGTACAATGTCTCCATGCTTGGGATTTTATTCCTGGATACGCAGAATGTGTTAAAGAAAAGTGAATAATTAGAAAATAAAGAAAAAATGACACATATAACAAAATCTTACTTTTTGCAATTGTTATTGCAGAGTTATACACTACCTAAAGATGTTCTGGAGTCTGCACAAGGAAAACGGTCTATTACCATCTTGATATAGCAAAGCATATGACAAAAGCTTACCCTGGAAAATGGCAAAAAAGCAGTCCCATTATCAGCAAAAGGGATAATGACACTGCATAGGGGAGGTAATGAGTCTTGACACCGCACACATGTTCTTGTAGGCCGGGCCTACAAGTCGCATACCCCGGCGAGTCACCACTCAAGGAAGCCTAAGCCTGGATTTTGGGCCACATGTAGGCAAGGCATCTGAATCCAACCAGTTAACCAGTGTGGATGCCCTTCCTAACCTAAGACCCTGGGCAGGAGTCAAACTCACACACTACAGGGTGATCAACTCAAAAATATCTGATTATGCTTACATCTATTCTATATTCACTATAAGGTCGATCTTTATATCTTCACAATATTTGTTTTAGACCCTAATGGAGCTTGTCATTTTTTAATCTACAAGTTGCATTCAATTTTAATTTCCCTTTTCTCTCCTTCCCAGCGTCTTCATCTCAATCTCTCCCAATCCTGCTCAGCTGCTTCTTCCCCTTCTTCCTCTCCTGTTTTTCCTCCTCCTCCTCTCCCTCCTCCTCTCCCTCCTCCTCCTCATCTTCTTCTTCCTACTCTTCATCTTCATCTTCATCAACAATCGTCACCGTCATCATCAGTCATCTTCATCATCAAAATTCACCGTCATCATCAATCATCATCAAAAATCACCATCAATCATCAATCATCACCATCAATCATCATCAATCATCACCATCAATCATCATCAAAAATCACCATAATCATCAAAATCACAGTCATCGTCAATCATAAAAAATCACCATCATCATCAATCATCATAAAAAATCACTGTCATCAATTATCATCATCAATCATCAAAATCACCATCTTCATCAATCATCATCTTCCTCCTCCTCTTCTTCTACTTCTTTTTCTTCTTCCTCTCCTCTTGCTCCTCCTCCTCCTCCTTCAGCTTCTCTTCCTCTTGTTCTTCTTCCTCTTCTTATTATTCTCCCTCCTCTTCTTCTTCTTTTTCCTCCTCCTCCTCCTCCTCTTCTTTTTCCTCTTCTCCTTCTTCCTCTTCTCCTTCTTCTTCCTCTTCTCCTTCTTTCTCCTCCACCTCTTCTTCTTCTTCCTCCTCCTCCTCTTCTTTTTGTTCTTCTTCTTCCTCTTCTCCTTTTTCTTCTTCCTCCTCCTCCTCTTCTTTTTGTTCTTCTTCTTCCTCTTCTCCTTTTTCTTCTTCCTCCTATTCTTGCTCCTCTTCTTCTTCTTCCTCTCCTCGTTTTTCTTCTTCCTCTTCTCCTTTTTTTCTTCTTCTTCTTCTTCTTCTTCTTCTCATTCTTCTTCTTTCTCTGCTTCTTCTTCCTCTTTGCTTCTCACTCTCTCTCACATGTCTGTCTCAATAAACTTAACCAATTCACAGAGGTCTCTTCCTCTTTCATTCTCTCACTCATTCTTCCCCATATCTCTTCTCTCGCTCTTCCCTTTCATCCATTCTCCCTCGTCCCTACCTCAACACCATAGACCACGACATCAGCATTCCCGACTGCGCCCGACACAATGGATTCCACTTCCGCAGTGGACACGTTCTCTCCCTTCCACCTGTATGTATCTCCTGTACGGTCCTTGAAGTACAGGTAGCCCTCCTCGTCCATCACAAGGATGTCGCCTAATGGATTATAAGATGGATTAAGGTTTATCACAGATTTACTAGGATTTGTTAGCATTTACTAGTTATCTTTTATGCATCCTTCAAGCTAGTTACACATTTTCATTCCTACACTAATTATGCATTATGAACATTTAATACTATCACTCTATTTATCATTACTACTACAATTATCATTATTTTTTATATTCGTCAGGCTTACTCTTAACTGATCTAAATTTAACTGACATTGTATTTCATTTCTTATAGGGGGGAGGAGAAAGAGAGGGAGAGAGAGAGAGAGAGAGAGAGAGAGAGAGAGAGAGAGAGAGA